TATTGAGAAAAGTGCAATTGTTTTTAGAGAAAACTTGGTACAAGTGATCGTTGGGAAGAGTTAGTGATTTGCGTCCTTTTCTAAGTGTATATTGTTGCTGTGAAATTTATATATTTTTATATAAATTCAAATTAGAATTAGAAGGGTTAACTGTATTATTTTCAGATCTATCATGGTGTAACTTATTTTCTGATATTGATTTTAGTGGGTGTTCATGCTGTCTTTGAACAAAATAATCTAAAATCTGCAAATTTTTTTTATTATTAGTATCTTCACACACTGATATATACAAATTTAGATCTGTCAAGTTGATTGCACTATTGCTAGAGCCACCATATAACCTTTTCTCCAATGCTGACTTGATACATTTATTGGATGGGCATCTACAACATTTTTGAACCAAAAGATCTAAAATATCTAAATTTTCCTTATTTTCACAGTTTACATTTTCAATATTGTTTTTTTTGCAAGTAATAAAATTGTTAACCATGTCTATAAATTCATTTTCACAATTCACATCAAGTGCTAGGTTAAAAGCTTTTTTTATTTTTCTGAATCCTTAAGCATACCTAACTCTCTATGTAAATGTTTTTTCATTTCAGTTGTTAATATAACTGGTGGTTTGAACTTATTAAATATATGAAAATTATTTAATATTTCTATATTACTTTCTTGCTGAAATTGAGTTACGACCCCTACCCTATGTTGTAAATTAAGCTAAATATTATTATTCTGAAATTCTTCTAGAAACTATCATTTTGCAATAAGACCAATGCTAAACTTAGCATTTTTTGAATTTAATATAACCTGAAAAAAATGAGCACACACAAGTCTACAGTTTATTATAGATAAACAAGTACATAAATACCCTTCATCAATTAACAAGATAATAAAGTGCTTATATAATTTCATAATTCCAAAAAGTTCCAAAATTTCTACAATATCAGATGATTGTATACCATCTAAAAGAGAATGTAGTGATATTTTTGGTCTATCAAGTTAATCTTCAAAAACTGGCATTATAATCTAACTGGTTAAAATCTTGTATTAGACCAACCAATTCTTTAGAAATTAAGTTTGCTGATATAATAAAAATCTACAAAGTTGTTGTTTTTGAATAGATAAAATGTGTACTGATAAATATTTTTTCATCAACTCAAATATCTCATGAAATATGGGTTTGACTACTGAAGGCACCTGGTTAGTTAGAAGACTCTGAAGGTATACATTATAATAGGCCTATTGAGCTTCATTATCCAATGACCATTGAACTTGATCATATAAAGTACATAAAGAAGAATTACTGCAGGTGCCTTTTTTAATTAGCCTATTTATAACTTCAACTCTTTTAATACTTTGAATTCTAGCTGTGAAACATTTAACTTGTAAGCACTTTGCCCATTTTTTATAACTATTTAAAGTATGATTAAAATATTCTTGTAATTGAAGATACTGTTCAAACAAACGTGATCAATGATGATAGAAATCATCCTCATATAAGCTGTTCTGAGTATATAAGAATTGTTTATAAAATGATTTAAAGTTTTTATCTAATTTACTTCATAATTTTTTTCTTATATTTTCTTGAATATGAAACATACACAGAAAATAATAAGTTGTAGACAGTTTTAATATTATTGTATTTATTAAAGCCAGATCAGCATCAGAAAAAAAACAAGTTGGTGAAATGTTGTTAAATGCTTGGAGGACACAATCAAGATACCATTCATAGCTTTCAGCTGTCTCATCTTCCAACAAACATTGTGCAACAAGTCTACTTTTAGTATTATTATCTATAACAACTAGTAAAGCTAAATATATGTAGAACCAATTGGTTCAACATGTATTTTTAGTTTGCACTACATCATTATAATGTATAAGACATTGTCGTTAAGTAGGTGACATCCAGAACAATCTGATGAGTCAGTTATTAAATGGATCAAGCCCTGTATTAATAACCCAACCAGGATCTTGTTCTTTTAAGAGCAACAATTTATTAACTATATGTTGGGCATTTCCTTGAAGTTTGGTAAAAGGTGCTTTAAATTTTTTGATAGCATTATAAAGGTCTTTCTTATAAATAAACTGGCCCAAAAAACTTGTAGTAAGTAAAGGATATATTTGTTTTGAATACATTTTTTCTTTGGTGACATAAAACTCAATTTTTTCTATTATATCATTTGACAATTTTTGATATATTGGGCCACATTTGACACTATGGAATGATTATATTTACTATCAATACTTGTAACTATAATTTGCAATGATGTCTTTGACAAGTTGAGATTTACATGCCATGAGCACTTAATTTTTTTAGACACCTGATTATGCTAATAACTTGAATCTATTACTTTATTTGATAATTTTTTATCAGAAAAACTATATTCAAATGTTCAATGAATTATAATTCCAGAACTATTAACCTCACATCATTTATGATGCAAAGAAAATCCTACTAATTTTGCATATTTTTTCAGATATAATTCAGCTATTTTTCATGAAGAAAAAGAATCTTCAGCATTAATAGTAATTTTTGTAGAAGCAGTGGGATCTGATTGAACAATATCTGAGTAGTCTTTAATGTCTAATGAATAATTAAGGTTTGCTTTGTGATTCTCAACATCTAACAGATAGTCAAGGTTTTCTTGGTAGTTCTTAACATCTAATAGATAATCAAGGTTTGCTTGGTGATTCTCAACACACATAAGGTTATTTATGGCAGAATCATATTGAACAGTATCTGAATGATCTTTAACATCTAATGAATATTCTTCTACAAAATTTCCAAGGCTATTCTAAACAACTGTTTGATAATTTTCAACAAATATAAGGTTATTTTCAACAGTATTTATGTGGTCTTCTCCTGCATTTTCAATAAGTACAAGATCATCCCAAATAGTATTTGTATAGTCTTTACTAAAGTTGTTATAGATAGAGGTTTGTTGGTCTTCTTCACTATATTTGACAAAAGTAGCATCATTTTGGGCGTCTTCTAAAAGAGTAACAAGATTCATATTATTTGACATATTTATTACTTTAGTTTTTCTTAGTTTTCTTATACATTAAAAATAAGCTTTAAAGGTATAAATATACCCTCTATACTTTCACTAAATCCTTTATCTAAAGGTTCATATACTACATGTTTATATTTTTATATTTTTCACCATTCTATTAATAAGCTTTTTACCTTTATCTGAAGGTTCGTATAGTGTCGCAATTATATATTTACATTGTTTCCTACACTTGCAAATATTTTTTTAAAGAAATAAATGACAAGCCTGATTGTTTTAATCATGTTTTGATATTTTTATTTAAAGCACATGCCTGATTGTATTACAATTAAACTACCCCACATAAACAATAATGCAATCAATTATTTAATTAAACTTTGATATTTAAGTGCATAATTTACATTGTGTAACTAGTGACAATCACTGCTGATTACTATTAGTTAAATTCTTTTAAAAATAATTTTTAAAGCAAAAATTTTTTAGTTTATCTATAACAAACTTTTTAAATATTAATTTTAAGCCTATAGTTTCTAATATAACTTTATAGTTAAATTATTATAAATTTTGTAGTTTATTTGTAAAAATTAATACTTGTCTTAAGAGCAAAATTTTTTTCTAGCTTTGAGAACATATAAAATTTTATAAAACTTAAAAAATTTTTAATAGTAAACTCTAATATTATACAAACTTTAAACTTTAATTAATCAAAAGTTTTTTAATAATTTTAAAAAATTTTCTTAATA